GCGTGTGCGAAACGGACGGCTGCAGCCGCGAGGCCAAGCTGCAGTGTCCCACCTGCATCAAGCTGGGCATCCAGGGCTCGTACTTCTGCTCGCAGGTAGGCGCCGGCGGACCCCTCCCCACCGCCCTCCCCGCCCGCCCCTGCGGCGGGTCGGGACGCGCTCCTCCCCTTCCCCGGCCGCGCTTCCTCCTCCCAGACCCGCCGCGCCGCCGCCCCCTGCAGCCCCGGGGGTCCCGGAGCTCGCGGGACGCGGGGCCGGGGCGCCGTCCGCTGCCGCCGTGTGGGCCGGGGGCGGAGGCGGACTTGTCCTGGGTCGCCCCGCGGCCCGAAGGCTCCGCGTCAGCGGCCGGCTCCCGTCGTGCCTTTTCCGCCCACGCGGGGGCCGCCAGGTGCGCGGCTGCCCCGGGCAGGTGGCGACGCCGAGGAGAGGGGCAGCTCCCGGCGGGGCTCCGGTCTCGGGCGCCTGGGTCCGCGGGCCGGGTGGTCACTCCGGTCCCGGCCGGATCGGGGCGGAAGCGACCCGCCGGAGGCTCGGGGAGAGGCGGAACGCCAGCTCCAGCCCCGCTTCTTTGTGTTTCACTGCTGCGCTTTGACACTTAAGCAACTTTGGGGGTGGGGATGCAGAGGATCTGGGTGATTTCTGCCTTCCTTTGGTGTCCAGAATTGTTCATTTAGAAAACTGTAAGTTAACGGGACGAATCATCTGGCCCTGTTACTGAATTTCCCACCGAGTGGAAAGGACAGCTTCATTGACGGTCGCACTTTAAGGCCATAGTGGGTTTCAGTAAGTTTCGTGCGGTGGAGCAAAGCGAGCGTTGAGTGGGGTCCGAGTGAGGCGTGTGCTCGTGTTTGCCAGAGAGCGCTGCTGCTGCTGCGTTTCCGCACTCGCAGTGGTGGCCGGGCAGCAGGAGCCTGGCTCCTGGTTGCTTACTGTCCAGGTTTGTGGAAGAGGCACAGGAATATTCAAACACTCCAGTATTGAGTTGGTGGTGTCCCGACGGGGGGAGGGCGTGGATGAAGTTAGACGGCCTGGTCAGGGCCCTGCCTTTGCCAATTACTGTGTGATCTTGAATTAGTCAAGTTACAGAGGGCATGCTGATGGGTTTCCTTGTGTAGTTCACAAGGTTTCTCTAAATTATCCAAGGAACGTGAGATGTAAAGCTTTTTATTTTTAAAGGATGCCAGTAAAATTTAACACCGCCATATAGAAACATATAAGAATGGAAGCAAATACATTAAC